CTCTGGTGGGACCCCATCCAGCGGTTACTCTTCTCTGGAGCCTCTGACAACAGCATCATCATGTGGGACATCGGAGGAAGGAAGGGCCGCACGCTCCTGCTCCAGGGCCACCAGTGCGTGACTGTTCTGGGGGTGGGGAGAGAGCCCGAGTTTGGGGACAACAGGGGAAACTGTGTTTCCAAAACGGCCATTTGATAGGGCTGACGGGGTCCACTTTTAAATGCTTTTCTGATAGTCCTGAGTGTCTGGTGTTCTGAGAGCAGAGGGTTTTCTTCCTCCTTGGTCCAAAGGGCACTTCCCACGTGTCTCTCCCAGCGAGTCACCCTGTTGAAATAAGCTGCTCAGGCCTGGAGCCCAGGCGTGGACTTTGACCATGGACGTGTGTGTAATGTGATACTAAGCCATTCTCCAATCGGATGCCTAACTCATTTTCTTAAATTATAAAATGTATTTCATTAAGAAGGAACATGTGGTTTCATGTAGGCGTATGGCCATTGCTATGACGGTGTAATACTCAGGCTCTTGCCATCTAGTCTTGAAAGGAAAAGGAACCTTTCCCCTTTGTTGGCTAGGTTGTCACCGTTCACCATAACCAGAGTCAAGCCGAAAAGTAGCCACGGAAACATTCTCCATTCAAGCCTACAGGCCAGGAGATTGTTCCCCAGAGTCTCCACGGTATCTGCTTGTGTACATGTGTGAATGTGTGTATGCATGTGTGTGTGTGTGCATGTGTGAACATGTGTATGCACTGTGAGCATGTGTATGTGTGTGTGCATGTGTGAACATGTGTATGCACTGTGAGCATGTGTATGTGTGCATGTGTGAACATGTGTAAGCACTGTGAGCATGTGTGTGTGTGTGCATGTGTGAACATGTGTATGCACTGTGAGCATGTGTATGTGTGCACCTGTGAGCATGAGTGTACCAGTAATCTCTGTAGTGTGTGACCACTTGTTATGGTTGGGTTCAGGCAAGGCAGTTACACCTCCTTTGTTCTTTGTTTCTGAACAAGGAGGTAAACCGTGTGTACCTGACAAGGAAATCATGGTGATTGGTCCAGAAAACTGTAGTCATCATCTCTGACCTGCAGTTCTTAAAGACTAACTTGAAAGTAGTGTTTGTTTTGTAGAAACTATTATTCTTATAGGAAGTTAGAGAATGCCAGGTAGTTTACACCAGAATCCATATTCCCACCCCACAGAGTGAGTGATAAAGGCCAAGGGCTGATTCCAACAGGGGAGAGAGTTGTGCCTCCATGGAGACTGTCTTTCCCATACTGAGACCAGTGCTGGTGTGTATCATCCACAGTGACCGGGTGCAGTCGCTGTGTTACCTTCAGCTCACGAGGCAGCTCGTCTCCTGTTCCTCGGATGGTGGGATTGCTGTGTGGAACATGGACGTTAGCAGAGAAGAGGTTAGAGGAGGAAGCGGGCAAAGCTGGGGGGCAGGGGGTGGAAAATCTGTCTGACCTGGTGGCCCAGCGAGAGGGATTCCCCTGTTAGGCACCTTGTGGTCCCACCAGCTGCCCCAAGTGGTTGTTTGCCAGATTCTGTAAAAAGGGGTTTTTGCTCAACTGGTTAAATAATTTCAAACAAATTTGGCATAACAAAAGAAATATACAAAGACAACTCTAAGAGTTCAAAGGAGAATTGAATAATTTCCTCATATCTATAGGTTGAAAGTTGAACAATTCTGTAAACATTACTAAAATGATAACGATTACTCAGAACACACACATAGTAGTGAGTATGGCAATAGCTACAAAATACTGAGAATTTTTAAAAATGCTAACCTCAACCATGTTTAGAACTATCGTTTGAATTTCTGAAAAGCCAGTGTAAACATGCGGCCACGCTGACGTTGGCTCTCTCTCTCCGCCCAGGCTCCTCAGTGGTTAGAAAGTGATTCTTGCCAGAAATGTGAGCAGCCCTTTTTCTGGAACATAAAGCAGATGTGGGACACAAAGACACTGGGGTTGAGACAGGTACGTAACCAACTTTGAGTCACCACCGGGTTAATCGTGCATTCTGTCACTTGTGTAATTCTTATTTTGTTCGGAATCACACTTCTTCTCCAGAAGTGCTGTTAATTCATACTTTTTTTTTTATATGACCACTCTCTGGTGATAATGAGCAAGACCTTTCCTCGGGCCAGTGAGACTATGCCATGGCTGGCCCTGCACTGGAGACGGTCCCCTAACTGTCCCATGGCTGGCCCTGCACTGGAGACTATCCCCTAACTGTCCCATGGCTGGTCCTGCACTGGACACTGTCCCCTAACTGTCCCATGGCTGGTCCTGCACTGGAGACGGTCCCCTAACTGTCCCATGGCTGATCCTACACTGGACACTGTCCCCTAACTGTCCCATGGCTGGTCCTACACTGGACACTGTCCCCTAACTGTCCCATGGCTGGTCCTGCACTGGAGACGGTCCCCTAACTGTCCATGGCTGGTCCTGCACTGGAGACGGGCCCCTAACTGTCACACGGCTGGTCCTACACTGGACACTGTCCCCTAACTGTCCCATGGCTGGTCCTGCACTAGACACTGTCCCCTAACTGTCCCATGGCTGGTCCTGCACTGGAGACGGTCCCCTAACTGTCCATGGCTGGTCCTGCACTGGACACTGTCCCCTAACTGTCCCATGGCTGGTCCTGCACTGGAGACGGTCCCCTAACTGTCCCATGGCTGGCCCTGCACTGGACACTGTACCATGGCTGGTCCTGCACTGGACACTGTCCCCTAACTGTCCATGGCTGGTCCTGCACTGGAGACTGTCCCCTAACTGTCCATGGCTGGTCCTGCACTGGACACTGTCCCCTAACTGTCCATGGCTGGTCCTGCACTGGACACTGTCCCCTAACTGTCCATGGCTGGTCCTGCACTGGAGACTGTCCCCTAACTGTCCATGGCTGGTCCTGCACTGGACACTGTCCCCTAACTGTCCCATGGCTGGTCCTGCACTGGAGACGGTCCCCTAACTGTCCCATGGCTGGCCCTGCACTGGACACTGTACCATGGCTGGTCCTGCACTGGACACTGTCCCCTAACTGTCCATGGCTGGTCCTGCACTGGAGATTGTCCCCTAAATGTCCATGGCTGGTCCTGCACTGGAAGAAGGGGATGCATAGAAAACCCAAGCCTGCTGGTAAATAGATACAGATCTTTCCCTTTGGGACTGTTGTTAAGGTCACTGTTTCATACTAGCCGAGCACCAAATTAGAATGAATTAGGGCATACAAGCCTCATGCTTTCACAAACTGATAAAAAGTAACAATTTAGCCCTCACTGGAATACTGTGGCTCTAATAATGTTAGATTATTCCTAAATTGTTCCACATAAATCTACCTGGAATATTTTTAGTAAGCATGTGTAATATTTTTAAGCATCTTTCAAGTACAATTTTTATTTTTTAAATTAAAAGTAGCCTATAGATTTCAAAGATGTTCTTCTCACTAGGTATGCACAGATACTAAAGTTCTACAAATATATATATGGCAGACTTGAAGGTAGCCACTCACTCAGGTTTAATATGAATTTGTGCAAGTAAGTGAAAAGGAATGCTGATTGTACTCATTTTATTACTGGTTACACCTCTATGAAGGATTGGCCTAAAACTTGTGTGGGGTAATAAACTTTCTTGGATTTTACTTACAAAATTGTACTCCTGCAAGGTCTAATATGAGACTGTCAGGCAATGCAGGAATTATTTTAGCACTTAAAACTTTCTAATGCTCTGAAAATGGTACCTGAATTGTTTCATTAGCTATTTCTAACAATGCGTGTCTCGTGGAAACTAGTGCAATGTAGCTGATGGGTGAAGAAGTCCCTACTTCTAAAGGAAACATGAAGAGATTAATTTTACTTTTATGATTAACAGCTAACAGCAGAGGAAATGAACAGGTCTTTCAGTATAAAAAAGTATGTCCGAATCAGTAATAATAACTGGACTATTTTGGAATGTTCTTGAAGCTTTCTTTCCAGAGTCACAGTTGAAAGACTAAAAGAGATAGTAAAACATCTGATTATGCATGTTGGTTTCTTAATGAGGGCATATTAAATTTAAAACCTTATTTCTTGACTTTCCTTTGACATAGAAATAGATTTCTCCTTCCTGAACTCTCTAATCAGTTGAGCTGCTAAGTGGACTTGAACTTGGTTTTAATATTTCTTGACATCGAGACACAAGATGAATGAACAAAAAGCAGTATCTTACCGATATAGTAAGGTTGTTTGGAAATCCTTGTCAAATAGTGCAATTGTCCACCTTTTGGCTGTTAACTGCTACATTAACTTGGAATGTTTATAAGTCAAGGCAAGATTTCCCCACTTCGATCCATTCCCCTGCTCTGAAGGGAAACCCTGTGCATTAAAGCAAAAGTGAAACTCCTCCTTTCCCTCCTGAAGCACCACTGCAGGAAGTGCGGGCAGGCCGTCTGTGGGAAGTGCAGCAGCAAGCGCTCAAGCTACCCCGTCATGGGCTTCGAGTTCCAGGTCCGCATGTGTGACTCCTGCTATGACTCCATCAAGGATGAGGAGTGAGTGTTTGCGTGTCTCAATCTTACTGTGCGCCTGAAACAGGAAGTGACATAGATGTACTCCTGCCCTCATGTTTGTGTCTCCCAGTTTCATAGGTGATGTCTAAAGAGAGGATCCTATTCTAGCTTTACGACATCAGACAGATTTCTCCCCAAAACTGCGAGAAATGATGTTGCTAGGACCAGCCCAGTCTTGAGCCCCCAGCACTCAGGGTGCTGTGCACACTGACGCAGTGGCCAGCTGGTTCTCTCCAAAAGCATTGAATGCTCTCATCTTTGCTCACCTGTGCGTGGAAATTTAATTACTGGGAAAATTCTAGAGACCAATGGTTTTTTTCCCCACCAAGATCTGACCTAGAAATCAGTTCTTAACTATTTATGTTCAGACATTTCTGTCTGTTCCCCATTCTGTCCTGACTCAGGCAGTTCCACTAGGGCAGAACCATCATTTTCGTTCCCTTCCTGTTGAGTCTTCTTTGAAAGTAGTAGATGGGCAAACCTTGGCAGAGGCCCGAGTTGGAAAGCCAGTGGGCACCATTGGTCGGTGAGTGCTACTCCCTGGGCAGCAGAGAGGTCTGGGAGCCTGCAGCTGTCTCGTGCCCACACTGTGTGATCTCATGCAGGCAGTTTCTCTTCTACGTGAAAGGCTCTATAAGTACAGTGACTCTTGAACAGTGTGGGGATTTGGGGTGCTGAACCCCTGGCAATTGAAAATCCACAAATAACTTTTGACTCCCTCAAAAACTTAACTACTGGTAGCTTTCCGTTGACCAGAAGCCTTACTAATAACATAAACAGTTGTTTAACACATATTTTGTAAGTTATATGTATTATATACTGTATTCTTACAACAAAGTAAGCTAGAGAAAAGAAAATGCTATTAAGAAAATTGTAGGGAAGAGAAAATACATTATAGTACTGTACGTATTTATTGAAAAAAATTTGCATATTAGTGGACCTGTGCATCACACCCATGTTGTTCAAGAGCAGCTGTATTTCCTTTCTGTTGCTAAGAAAACGTGTCCCTCAGCTCTAGGTACAGTTAGGTGACTTCTAAATGGTCCCGTTTCTCTTTGTTAGTCGGACTTCTCTAGCAACCTTTCATGAAGGAAAACATAACATCTCCCACATGTCCATGGATGTTGCCAGGGGACTGATGGTGACCTGTGGGACGGATCGCGTTGTGAAGGTAACCTGCATAATTGTCCCAATTAGCATCTCTGTGTAGACTGCTCCCTCGTCATGCTGCGAATGAGGATGACATTTCTAGTCCAGCCTCACTTTCTGATTGGCAAGCTTGTCTTCCCCTTTCATAAGCTACCTATAGTCATGTGAAGATCTGCAGTAACAAACTGCATGCCTGTGAGTTTCCACGCCCTCGGCCTTGGCGCTTCCCAAGGC